ATGTTCTGGTGAATTTATAAGAATTTTTGTCATTGATTCCACCCTATGTCTTGAGAATGCAATCAACTTTTTCATTAGAAATTGTATACTGTGCCTGCCTTTATTGGGGATTTCAATTGAAGTCACACAACATGTTCCTTTAAACAGTTTTTCATACTGGAATTGGCAATTTTGTTTCAACATGATATCTATATAAAATATGATTTTTGCTTCTATTTTTGTAGGAAAAAAGCCGGGCGCTAAACGGGGCAGGCAAAAGAAGGCCAAGTGAAGTTGTGAAAAGTGTATTTTGTGACCTCATTTCCGACCCACAAAACATGAAGGCGATCGGCATTCTTCCTCAGTCAATCTCGTTGACGGTATTCTTTTTTTTTTTGGTCGCCATCATCTTCTTTGTGTTGAGAAGGAAAAATAAAATCAAGAGCTTTTTGATCTCTTCCCGTCTGGAAGTTTGTGGTGTTTGCCGGTGTGTTTTTCGTGATTGGTTTCTGTTCCCTTGATGTGTGCGTGCCTCGATGAAAGGGACAGAATTGCGAAAAGAAAGACTGAGAATACGAATAAATCTCCAATAAAGGGTCACTTTGCTGTTGTCATTTATTCTGCTAACTCTGAAACTGTACCTTGCGTAGTTGTAACATAGGAAGTGGTATGATGACGGAAAGGGTGTGGAATGTTTCATCAGAGAGTTTTTAGTACGAGTTTAAAATTTTGAAATTTAAAAACAATATTTGACTTGGGTGAGTTCCACCCTACTAAGTTGGTATTATTTCTCAGCAGCGAATTGTTCCAAGAACTTGGCTGACTTGTGAGTTCTTGATCTTGGCAGAAACCGAGAATAAATAAGTAACAAGTATCTTGAACAGAAGGTTTCAGGAAAGCTTTCTTGAAGGGTTGTGGAAAGATTTCTCTGTTGAGATGGCCTTTAAAATATAATAATTGAGTTGTTAATTTCTGGAAACTTCTCATTGTCCCTATAATGCAATTTTGTGGACATCAATTGTCTGAGGGAAGTTTTCTCTGGAGCTTTCACAACTTCAATAAACCTAAGAGCATTATTTCATTGTCTGTTGAAGCTGCATCCAAAATATACCTGCTTCATATAGTAACGGCCAGCGGCCATTAGTCCCGCGCGACTTGTACAAACGCGTATTCGAATCAAGCTTCGTTCAGATCTCGTACCCAATCAGGGTACGCCGGCGCAACGGCCCGCGCGCCAACGACCGGCCATCTTGTGTAACAAGGGGCACGCCAAGCCTCATCCTACCTCGAACCTCCGACGAGTGCGGACCTCTGTTTTATGTGTGCGACAGTGTACTTATGTGAATAGACTTCAGTATTCTGATATTGGTGTCAACTCATTCCAAGTCTAACTTATCCTAGTGTGACTGTGGAGAAATCTTACTGGGGGCTCAGCCGACCGACGACGACCTGCCATGAACAGTGACCGCATGGAAAGTGAACCCCAACTGGGACCATCTAACGCGAACGCGTCACCGCAACCGGTAGCGTTATCGCAGCAACGGGCGACAGCCAATCCATGGAATTTCCTCATGCTAAACGCCATTCGTACGTACGCGACAGCGAACGGGATTCCAAACGCTAACGAAGTGCCACGCGATGAACTCATCAGCGCACTTCAAGCCAGAGGCGCAACGCCACTCAACATCATTCTCGGCTCACCGCCGGATTATCAAACGGGACCCGGGTCTACAGAACTGCTAGCATGGTCGTTGCTGCGCAGACGCGTGGACTACCCGCACCAGTCGCCCAACGAAAGTATTGAAATGTACCTACGACGCCTGGACACCGCCTTTAAACACGACGGAACGCCAAACTTCACGCGAGTCGACTGCCTAATCGGGCACTCCCAGCCGAAAGTAGCGGAAGCAGCACAACTCCTATACGACCAAGGATTCGAGGACTACGACGTCATCGCGGAGAAGCTCAAGGCCAGGTTTGGTTTATCCCCATTTGAACACTTTACCAGGTTCCAGCAGTTCCGACCGGCGTCCAACGAGCTATTTTCACAGTTCGGTCCACGCCTAAGCGACAAATACCTCCGATATCTCGCCTTACCACCCAACGAGGTCGGGCTACATGAGACCGCCATCATGCGGGCTCTTATCGGACAACTATTGTCCATCACCACCGGCGGGCTTCACGCTCAACTACACGCGCGGGCGACAGCCGACCGCTCCCTCACATGGGACAAATGCCTGGCGATAGCCGACGAATACAGACGGACGCATCCGGCTACACCAAAACCGGCCGCATCACCGGCACCGCAATCACCCGCCAACCGCCCACCCCAGACGACGGCATCCGGAGTCACGAAATACTACTGCGACAATCACCAGCGGTATGTGTTCCACAGCACGGCGGAGTGCACGATGTCACGCACGAGCTCACGGGCATCCACGCCGTCCACAACGGCTAACAGACGCCCCCTGCAAAGCTGTTCATTTCATCCGGGGCGCATGGTCGCACATTCAACCGAGGAATGCCGGAACAACCCGGCAAACCAGGTGAATACACCATCCCCCGCACAATCGATTCAACCGACTAAATGCGTTCAATGCGGCAATACAGGACATACCGCAGCAACATGTCCGGGAAACGGGAAGATCGGGCAGTGACGGCTGTCCTCTGCTCGATCCCCACGCCCACAGACGACAGCCTGACCATCATCATCACCATCAAAAACAAACGGGTGACCGCCCTGATCGACACCATTGTTACAACACATCATCGACAATTACACCCGCGCGGGTATCATAGAACCAGCCCAGTCCACCGTCAATTCCCCGGCCTTCCTGACGCCGAAAGATGACGATCCAAATGCCCCCGCAATCAAGCGGTGGCGCCTTGTAGAGGATTATCGGGAAATCAATAAGGTTCTACTGGCAGACAACTACCCGATGCCAGTCATTCAGGACATCCTAGACGCACTAGGGCGCCAAAACGCCTACTTCTGCTGCCTCGACTTGCATTCGGGATATCATCACATCCCCATCGCACACGGCGACCGCCACAAGACCGCATTTTCGACCTATACAGGACAAATGCAGTACACGGTCCTCCCATACGGCCTCAAAACGGGACCCGCCATTTTTCAAAGGACCATGGAAACCATCCTGCGCCCGCATTTATACACGAAATGTCTGGTCTATATTGACGACATCATCGTCTTCGGCAATACCTTCGAAACGGTACTGGAAAACCTACAACAGGTTCTCGACACGCTTGCGTCCGCAGGAGCGTCCATCGATATCCGCAAATCCAAATTCTTGGCAGAGTCCATCAACTTCCTCGGTCACATCGTAGACAAAACGGGCACACGCCCCGCGGAAGAGCACCTCAAAGCCGTCCAGGCCTTCCCACAACCGGCAACCACACGCCAGATGCAGCGATTCCTGGGCCTCGCCACCTACCTACGAGCCCATGTGCCGACCAACTTCGCACAATTGGAGAAAGTCCTACGACTTACAATCCCAGTCAAACCGGCGACAGCCATCATCTGGTCACCAGAGGCGACTGAAGCGTTTGAAGCGCTAAAACAAGCGATAGCAAACGCCGCTCGGCTGGAACGGTTCGACCCAGCATGGGACACCGAAATCCACTGCGATGCGTCCGCATCCGCAATAGGGGCCATCCTCGTCCAAATC